GAGACTCAGTTTTAACTGTATTAATCTGACAACACTTTATAATAAGCTAAAAGCTGTAACTTCTCTGTAAGTCAATGGAATTTCAATGTATTTTATTTGATATTATAATTTATTATTATTTACATACAAATACTTAAAGACAGGTCCACCAGAATAAGGGGGTAACAAGTCAGAATTTTACAGGAAACAAAGAAATTATATTTGCAAATATACTGTAGGTTAATTAAAGTAGTCTTTAAGTAATTTTAAGTACAAAAAGCAAAAACAAGCAATATCTCCCCATTTTAAATACGCTGTTAAGGGCGCAGCCCATGTGGAGTGGCTTATCTTATCTAACTTCCAGGTATTTCACAGACACTGCTTACCTCTACTTTTTTTCACAGTTATGTTCAAACAGTTTATTGTGAAAGGAAAAAAAAACTGTTAGACTTGGCTCCATCATGATAAGGTCACATAGGCCTGCAAATCTTTACATTATTTATTTATTTATTTTTGGAAGTCGGTAAGGTAGAACAGTCCTTATCACATTTACATTGATCAAATAAAAGGATAATTGAATAATAAAACATCATCGAGCAAATCAAGACAATGCATATTAAACAAATCTGCAAAAAGAAAAGAAAAAAACATAAAGAGACAAAATTAATCGGCTCCAATAATACATCCTGTGACCCAAAAAGTATATTTGTGATATAAAATAGGGAAATATTGCTTGTTTTTCTGGAAGAAATTACCATAAAATTGCACACTACCTAAAATTATTTTTGCAGTACTTTACTTACACTATAATTATTCATTTGTTTTCTGTAAAAACTGCCCAGTTACCTCTGTATTCTTTAAGTATTTGTAGCTAAATATAATTAATTTCAAATAAAATACACTGAAATTCCATTTAATTACAGGGTTGATTACACTTTTACCTCCTGGCTGTATTATAAAATGTTACCACTAGTTCAGTTAAATTTGTTGATCGCTGTTCTGTCTCAGGGTGTTTTTAGGGAAACTGGGTTCAGAGTGAGAGTTAATGATGACTTAGACCTCTAAAGTAGAATAAAGGTAAGCCTTTGAAGAGTCTGCTCATACAGCACAGAGACGAGCTGGGTTTGTGTTTCTCTTTAAAATATAATTGAGTGGAACTCTACAGAGCATTCATTCAAGTCAGAGCAATTCAGGAAAACATTTGAAGAGTGAATGCAGAGTTTCCATCCATAGGACTGCATACTTTTAACAGTATTGTGGTTAATGTGATGCATAATGTCCAACAGACATTCAGGACACAGTTCTAGGGTTGGTAAATGCTAAATGGACTTATTGCTCTCTACTCTAACTAAACACTCAAAGCTTTTTTCTTTAACTAGAACTCAAATACACAATCTATTCATACAGTTATAGCTTTATTATATTGTATATATATTTTATGATTGATTTTATTGGTGCTTCTGTGGTTAGCCCTGGTTCAATTTCAGGAGGAGACACAAGCTCAACCTCAGTGGGGTCACAGACCCAGATAAATGGGGGGGTTGTGTCAGCATAAAAGCCGTGCCAAATCAAACATGCGGATCCATCTGCCGTGACAACCCCTCGGGCATTAAGGGGACAGTTGAAAGTACCTCTTACCGTATATTTATTTATCACCACAAAAGAGTGACATTATTGGTAGAATTCAGTAGTCTGTGTGAAAGGATGAAGAGAGGTAGGAGTGCAAGAGATGATCAACTTCCAACAGACACAGAAAACCCCCTGAGGAGCAGAGGGCAACAGGAGAGAACGAGCGAGAGTGAGAACAACAGGTGTGTGTTTATGAGGACACTCATGCCCATCCATTTTCTTCCACTTATCCAATTCGAGGTCCCTGATGGGGGTCTGGAGCACATCCCAACAGAGACACTGACAATACAGTTCAATTCAATTCTAAGCAATTTTAATTATATAGCACCAAATCACAACCACTTTGCTAATGTTTTAGTAAGAACCCTGCAATATTACAAAGGACCCCCAATAATCAAACAACTTCCCTATGGGCAAGTACTTGGCGACAGCGGGAAGGAATTATTTTTCAAAGTATTTGTCATACTTTTAAAACACATTTTCACCAGATTATATCTTCATTAGATTGCTGCCTCTAGCTTTAAGCTATAGCTCCGTGTTTATGGAGGCAGGAGCTCCGTGCACATTTAAATGATTGTGTGCCACCCCATTTTTGAGGTCTGCGGGGTCCCTCTTTCTGCTATGTTCCTGTAGGCTGTGTTCTCTAATTATGTCGATGACCTGTAGCTAAAGAGTTTACCCCTTTTGCACCACAAGATGTCAGCACTTAGTCAGAGCACCACTGTCTTGTAACTGATAGCTTGTGCCATTCATTGTAAACGGATCCAGTCACTGAGCAGAGTGGCTGAAGGGACAAGAGCGCGTTGAGATAACGAGATGCAGGGAACAGGTTGCATCACCGCCTGCATGCTACAGAGCTGTTTGTCAGCCCGTAAATATTGTGTTAATGACCAGTTCAGCTCGTGAAATTTACACATCTCGCCCTCCCCTAAACGGTGTGAGCGTGCGTATGTGTGTGTATCAGATGTGTGTTTGGCTCAGCACATCTGTTTTTTTCTCTTCTTCTTCTCTCTTTTTCTCTTCATCCAGTTATGATTCATGATACCTTAAATTACACGTTATATTATGTTCACTGCCCTGCCAAGATTTTAAGGGAATCAAGATGAGAGAGGGGGGCATTGTGAGAAAACAACCTCAGCTCTTTGAAGCAGTTTCAACCTCTTCCAATGAAAAACACGCTCGGAGGTTGGTTTTTTTTTTGGGAGGGGGGGGGGGGGTGTTTTTATCACTCCCTGAATCATGTGAAGTGCTCGAAGCTTTCACTGAGATAAGAAAACATTTTAACTGAAGGAGCCCGCAACAGTTTCATAACCCAGTTTCTGACCTGCGCGTATTTGCAGTGTTCAAGAAAGATCCAGTGAGACCCCCCCCCTCCCCCCACGCCGGCACAGCTCCTGCCAAATGATGTTATTACACCGGCCCTTCGGAGTCTGTTCAATCTCCCACTTTCTCATCTGCGATACAGACAAATAAAATCTGTACAATGGGCGTTTTTGTTAGATAGCAGGGTTGTAATTTAATTTTTTTAAAAGGCCTTGTTGATTCCCAGATTTTACGCGTTTTATCATAAAGAAAAGAAGAAAGGCTTCATAGAGGGGTCCCCGGGTTTAATGTTGCATAGCTTTTTTGGTGACCCTTACAAAACAATTACCAGAAATAATAACATTAATTTATAATAAAGAAAGAAAAGAAAAGCGGAGGCCATATTTGTCACTGTAATATCGGGACTCATTCATCGCCACCTGAGTTCATCTGACAGAGTCGCCTCCACCGTCGGTCCCCCAATAAGTGACTCCAGCGCGTGCAAGCTCGGGAACCGTGCCGCCCTGAGAGTGGCCTACCTTCAGCTTTTGTAGTGATTTGACGCTCCCGCTCTCGCCTTATTGAAACCACACATTGCGCTCGGGCCTGTTTCCAATGTGAAGACATGCGTGATGAATTTGGGAAATCATCTGCAGCTTTGCTGGTACCGTATAGCCCACCCAGTCCGGACCCGGTCTCTCTCTTTCTCCCCCCGCGCCTCCCCTCTGCCCCGGGGTATCAATACGATTAGAGGCAGGAAATGTGGGAATCCCCAACAAAGGGCTCCATCATTAAACACAAACAACCAGAGGCCTCCCAACAATACCGAGAGCGCCCTCCTCTCCACACTTCTCTTTTATGTCTGAGCGAAGTGAAAATCTATTACTTTCATCCCAATATTACCAGTCTGCGTTCAGCTGCGCATTATTAAAGAGGATAATCTGGCGAGGTTATGACGGATTTATAGGTGTTCAAATGGAGAGCAGGCGGTGTAGAGTTTCGCCCAGCAGATTACGCAGACTGCACATCAAATATTGTTTCTCCCTGCATTCCACACGTGGGCACATCTAGCAATATGTCCCTGAGAGAAACGAAAGAATTCAGAATAAAATTCAGAATAAAATAGATATACGTACATAAATAAATAAAATAAGATATGAGATATAAAGGGCGCATAGTCTCTTCTTATCGGTTTATTCAAGGAAGGCGCTCATGCAAGGCAACAAATTATTATTTTCACAGCTGCCCAAAAGCAGTCATTCCAGTGTTGTACGTCTGAAAACGTGTAATTGTGAGTCAAGTGTGCATAAAGTGCGGCTGCAGGAGACTTCGAGAGGGATTAGGGTTTAAGTCCTCGCCTCGCGTAGAGAAGTGTTTGGGGATTTTCCCTCTCACACTTTAAATTATAATCTGATATCCTCCCTCCAAGGCGTCAGCCGGCAGATTCGGAAATATAAATGTGTCATTTTGGTGTAAACTGACTTTCCATCACCACCGTGCTTTAGATTTGATCGCTTTTCCTGTTTTAGTTGGAAAATAAAACGAAGAGTGGAAAAAAATACAAATAAAAAATATTTTAAATTCTTTGTATTTTGAGTCAAATCTCATTAGGTTCCATACAGAGTTTATTAAAGACTGCTTCTAGTGTCGAAGAACATACTCAAACTTTAATATTTTGCATACAAAATTGTGATTTTAACTTATAGCCGTGAAAAGGTCACGCATCACACTTTTCTCCAATTAACGTCTTCTGGTGTGTAAAAAACACTCTTACTTGTTGCATTTTTTTTATATAGTTGCCAATGTTTTACGCAATATCTGTGAAATTAATTTTCCGTGGAAACTTTATTATTCCGCTCCAAACGATCTTTCCTCTGATTTCCTCGATGGATCTCTGATGTGTCCGCGTGGACTTGGCACTGATGTGCTGATGATGAGAGTGCACTGGCTGGATGGCTGGTATAGGCCTCTTTGGTCTTTGCGCCTTTGCGCGGTTTTCATTGGTCAGGAACCTTTCCCTCGTGCCTCGACGTGACATCACAAGCACCCGACCAGCAGGAAAGCAGGAGAGTTTACAGATGGTGCTGGACATCTCCGAGGACGCACGCACTTTTACGCACAGCCAGTCCTGGCCGCTTTTTTTTGCGCTAAAAGCTGTGAAAATAAAAGGATATCAGCGTAGATGCTTTGCGGTTTGGAGAATCTGAAGTAGGAAGTGGACTTCTCTCGGATCGTGTTTTTGTGAATGGAGATGGGCCGTGCGTAAAAATCTTTTCGTCGCCTTTGAAAGAAGAGCTCTCGCTCTCCCACCTGTTGCCAGGTGGTGTCGGCTTTAAAACTGCGGATATCTACTATGACATTAGGTTTGGAAATCATGGAGGATATTGTTATCGACGTGGTGGGGGAAGGACTCAAAGACAGCGCAGAGGAGCAGCTTTTACCTTTGGATGAGTCGCGAAGCGAGCACGAAGACGGCACGGAGACGTCCAGCAGCCAGAGTAAAGACAGGGAGACCTTCAGCCCTGCGCCGGCGTGTCTCCCTGCTCCTAAAACCAAAGGTCCCGCGTCGGTGAAGCCCCCATACTCATACATCGCTCTGATAACCATGGCCATCCTTCAGAGCCCAAAAAAGCGGCTCACCCTCAGCGAGATATGTGACTTTATCAGCCACCGCTTCGTTTATTACCGGGAGAAATTCCCCGCCTGGCAAAACTCTATCAGACACAATCTTTCGCTCAATGACTGTTTTGTAAAGATGCCAAGAGAGCCCGGGAACCCCGGGAAGGGCAACTACTGGACGCTGGATCCCAACTCCTCCGACATGTTTGAGAACGGGAGCTTCCTGCGGCGGAGGAAACGCTTCAAGCGGCAGCATTTTCGCTTCGACCCGCTCAAAGAACAGCACCTGGAGCCCAGCGCGCTCCACGGCTTTCCACACAGCGCCTACGGGCTCGGTACGGCGGCCCTGCAGCTGCCAAGTCTGGAGATTTACCCCTACCTCCATCACCACGCGCCTTCGCAGTGCGGCCCCGCCACCATCCCACCTGTGAGCAGTATCCTGCCGGCTCTCTCCAGCTTCTTCTCGCGCAGCGCCCTGTCAGCCAAAGCTTTCCTTCAGTCTCAGCCGGGCATCGACGCTTTCTCCCCGGCACAGTGCACAGCGTATTCCTCTCCTCTGACCTCCAGCGCCGCATACGTCTCCCCCGCGCTCTTCCACCCGGCGGCTTCTCCGCACTTCCTCAGTTTACACCAGGAGTACCAGAAACTACAGACTCAGCGTGGCATCGGCGACCTGGCCAAACACATCCACACCAACGATGAATAATCCCCCCCACTCCCCTCTCCTTAAAGCGGACTTTAATTTGTATTTTCTCAGGTAAACGGAGACATTTGGAGCAGATGCTTGCAGTGGAAATTGGATGGATCTGTTTTTGTTTTTTTTACAAGAATGTTGCAGAAATGCTCAAAACTTTTCCTCGATCTCCCCAACTTCATGGCAAAAACAACAGACGCCCTTTAAAAAAACCTGATCATGAATTATCATCTTTTGTTTAAATATTTAAATGACGAGTTTCCTTTACGTCTTTTTTCTGTAAAGAAATAAAGCTGAGTATTTAAACCTTGCGTTAATTTGTATTTTGCACACATGCATGTCAGGAATCATGCTTTTTGAAATCATTTAAATGTGCGTGCACGGTTTTGTTTGCTAACAGCTGTTATACCTGTTATTATTTTTATCTCTGGGTTTAAAGGGTTTTATATTCCTCGGTTTCATTTTTATCTAAATTCAAATTATTCATAGTAATGTTCAGAGGGGCAGAGAAAGTAAGCAGTCAAATTGACCTACATTAAATCAGTGCGCAGTCTTTTTTAGCCTTATGTCTTACACGCTCTCATTTTAAACACGTGACTCTCTTCTGCTTTAAATAACTGATCAAATACAAGCGAAGGTAACACTCGTAATTTTGGGATTTTTTTTTCTAATTATGGGTCTCCAAGATCTTTTATTATTTATTTAATAATCTGATGTAATATTTAAAAGGAACAGTGGCTTGTTAAATAAGAAATGTCATTATTTTTCAAAGTAATGGAGAAAATCAACATGATGTTAAAATAAATAACGGGCGGGTCGAGGTCGAAGGCACTTTGGATGGCCTCGTTTTTAATGCGCTTTAATAGAGAAATAAGAAAGGTTCTAATCACACCAAGCTTTTAAAGTAAGACTAAGCGCATAGCTTATATTTATATGTATAAATATGTATAAATAATATTTATACAAGCTATGGTGTGTGTGTGTGTGTGTGTGTGTGTGTGTGTGTGTGTGTGTGTGTGTGTCGTTTTCATAGCCATAACGCTGAAAACATACATGCCAATAATAATTGGCTTATTTTGCAGGACCACACACAGAAAATGTGTGCAACACATTTTCATGTCAGATATTCATAAAGGCTTTCTGCTCATTTACTGACCAGAGTTTCCACACAGGAGGTTTTCCCAAACATTCCTCAATTCAGTTTATGTTTTTTCCTTTTTATAATCATGGTTTTGTCGTCTTACTTAGAAACATTACAGAAAAAAAACTTTTAAAAATCCGATTTGAGTATTAGACAGTTTTAAAGAAGTAACTTTATTTAAATTCTGTTTTAAAAATAACAGAAATAAATAAATTCTGCCTGCGTTTTAAGCAATGCCCCTAAAAACAATCCTCCACCTCACAGGTTTCACAATATGAAAATATATCAATCAGATATCACTCTTTTTTTAATGTTGTGTTTTTTTCCAATTATTTCTTCTCCATTCCCAATTTGTCTTCCAATCTTTAAATCTCAGGTAAACCCAGTCTGATTAAATCAACCCCAATCTGAGGCTAAAATAAATATATCAGTCTTTCTGCTTGAGCAGAAACGCTGTGATTCAATCTGCGCGTACACAGAATAAATCTAAAAATATGTATTTCTGCTCATTTTCTGCTATTTCAAATTATCTGATTTATTTTCCCCTTTCCTTTTCATTTAAGTGCACACGGCGCTGCCTCGTAGTGAGAATGACAGTAGTAAAATAATTCGGGGGTTGCAGAGCATGGAAGTATTTATTTAATTCTATTCTGACTCTGCTTTAGATGGATTACCACGCTGAAGCTCTTGGACGGGGCTGATGGATCGCACCACACGCTTAGTCCTTTAGCAGGCTTTGGCACCCAGCGAGGGACTGAAACAAATAAAAAGATTGTTACCTGATGGCGAGCTGTTAAGCTGCCCACTCCTAAAGGAAGAGCACATGCTCGCGCTGCATGTCTTCCTCTTTCTCTGCACTCCATTCAGGAAATGTCTTACCATTTTGGGATGATCAGATTTAATTCAATCTGTACTGAGGTTTTGTTTTTTGCTTTTTCTTTCTGTCTTTTTTTCCTCTTATAACCAAATGTCTAATATTTCTGGTGCTAATCTTAAACAGTGTGGCAAGAGCTGTGGTTCAGCTAATCCGTCATAAGATTCCTATCATGCACCGGGGCCCTCTTTTGCTATTAGAACTTATCTGATTGGAAAGCTAAACGTGCAGCTGCACATATATACTTTTAGTCAGCATCTGTGCTTTGCTTCTAATAGTGCTGTGCTCTACTAGAGTGTGGTGACTCTTCAAAAGTGCTAACACAGGGGCTTTATTATGCACTTTTGTTTCGCACAGAAGGTACTGATGCAGCTTATAAACAGCCACACGCATGCTTAGTATGTTCACTGAACTCTATTGTTATATGACTACAAGGATAAGGGAACTAAAATGTAGTCTGAACCATAAGTAGCTCCAGCATAATAATTGAATGCTTACACTGTTTTTGTAAAGGGAGCGCTTCATTCATAAAAGGATCTTCTTCAGGCTCCAGGGTGGATGTGCAAACCTTTTTACTCTTACTCTAGTTTTATTTATTTACTGCCCGAATGTGTGCGCACACTCATTCTTTTCCTAAGGCACAGAAACGCTAATAACCCCATGAAATCATTTTCTTATAACAAGCTTGTTCTGCTGGTGGGGAGCCAAACAGAAAAGTGAAGCAGACAAACGCTGTCACAGAGATTGATTGGCAGCCAGGAAGAAAGAGTCAGGGTCTTTTACTTTCTTTTTTCTTTCTTTTTTTTGGAGGGAGAGCACCAGTGCACCTGATAAAATAAGCAATTCAGACACCCCGGGCTCATACTCATGTGCACACACATCGGTTTTCCATACTGAGGGAGGTAAAAGTTGCCAGTGCAGTGCTTAAAGTCTTTTTTACTCTCCTTTTTTCCCCTTTGTGCGTCATTAAGTGTGACATGTTTTATTAAGTCTTCACTCGTGCTACGAGTAATACCTCTTTTTTTTCAATCATTAACAGCAAGATTTTCCCACTTTCAGCCAGACCTTTCTCTCTCTCTTTTCTGTCTTTTTATAAGGTCACCTCAGAGTTAAATACAATCTGCAAAGTCATTCTGAGTTATGAAACAAGGGGATTGAGTTTCGCACCCTAAACGGGACCACAGAGAACTTAAATCAGTGTCATATTAAGATGATTCATCACATGAGTGGATGTGCAGCTATGTGACAGCGTGTCAGCGGTTGCGTGCCTTGTCGCACCAGCTGCGGAGGAGTTTCCGCTCAGTTCCACGCCGATGACCAGTCGGGAGCTATCTCGGCTCGTATCTGATGCGGAGCTCGCTTCTCTGGGAAAAGTGAGTCGATTCGGTCAGAACTCCATTCATGCCTGACAGCATGGCCGTACCCTGCTTTCGTTCTCCGCTCTCAAACGCCAAGCCAAACAGGCAAGATAAACTCATTGGCGGAGCACCCCGCCTCGCTGCCTTCGCTTCTTCTCCTTCCACACAGCGAAAGCGGGGTGAGCGGTGCATTCTGGGACAGCCCCTGCGAGTTCAGCCAGGACAGGAAAAACAATGCGACTGTGTTGTTTGAAATGCGTAATTTGAAATAAATTCCCCTTGAATATTTTTCTTGCCCTACACTGTGCTGTTTCTTTTAATAAGCGTCTTTATTAAGAGGCTGCCTACGAGTCGTGGGTTAAGAAAGTGTCCGAATTTGGGCTGCAGTGGGTTAATTTCACTATGGATGAACACGTTGAACCGACGTTAGTGTTATATTTCATATTTCTGTCAGGTCGCCGGATCAAAACGTGCCCTTCATCTTGTGCGAGTTCTTTCCAAGGGTCGCTTGTTTTAGTGTAAATATGAGCTCAAATTGACCTAATTTGGGAAATGTTACCCCCGTAGCCATGTAAACTCTGCGTCGGGTAGATCCACTGTTGCAGATAAAGTGGTCAGTGATTTGTGTTATTTCACTGGGGTGTTTTTAGTTTTGTTTTTTTTCTTTCGTGCAGATTCAGAGTGGGGTGAACAGAATGGCTACTAGGTGCTGTGGTTTTTCAGTTATCATTAGTAAATCTCACACCTTTCTGCTGAAGCGGATCACAGCTGAGGTTTTCTCTCCTCTCACTTTAATGGCTGACTTCCATGGGCCTTGCTCGCTCCTTGGCGTTTGCTTTTCCTGGCAGGGCCAATCCCCGCTGCCCTGCTTCAGGGAGTTATTCAATTATAAATCTTCCACCCTTCTTTTGCTGCCTTTTCTCTCTCTCTCTCTTTCACCGGTCTTTGTGTTACCCAGCCAAGCCCAGTAAAACGCACTGCTCCGCTGGTACACCCCTCTCCAGTCTCGTGCCCAAGAATTTATTATGCTCAGGGTGGTGAAGCGGAGTGCGGTGTGTTTTTGGAAAAGGGACCCCCCCTCGAGCCTCAGTGCCAACAGATGACAGTGACATATAGCAGGAAAGCCACCCAGAAGGAGAATGATCTCACACCTCAGCCACGCGCTCACAGGGAGTGGGAGAAAATAAAGAGTAAAAGATCTACAGCTGGGGGTGGGTGAGTCGAGGGGGGTGGTGGGACAATAAAAATCAGAATGAGAAGAGGAAAGGATGGAGAAACACAGAGGTAGAAAAACAAACAGCAAGTGAACGATCCCTTGAAGCACAGACTTATTCAAATACTTTAGGTTACTTGCTAAACTCGGACGCTGTAGTTTAATAACTTCCAAATAAACCAAAGTATGTTAAACCTCTGAGATATTCTCTTCCTACCCTCAGACCTCGGCTTGTCTCCGTCAGCCAAAATCTGGAGGAAATGCACTGCCCCATTAGGCATCTTGAGAAAATCCACAGTTGCGTTCAGGATTATACAGTACATAGATCGTTCTTTTTCTTTTTTACCACATCTGTTCTCGAAAAAACCAAAAAAATCTGCAAAGCACTCGATCTGTGCTTCACTGGGTGGCACTCAGTCTTGGCCTTGCTCCCTCCTGTGCTGCTCTCAACCTTCCTGGTGCCCTTCTGTTCCCCAGCTGGCGGCCTCATGCCCTTGCCCTGCCCATGCAGCTTGGCATTACCCTCTCCAATGTTTTTTTTTTTGGTGTGTGTCTGAAGCAACACGTGCCGGCTTGGCGTCAGCGTGTGAGGTATGCGCTGCAGGTAGAAGTCAGCTTACCACGAGAAACGCTCACCCTTTACAGGCCTCAGATCAGTGTGATGTCACCCACAACAGCCCCTGAACCACTTACTGCACTAAATGAG